CGATATTGTTGTTAGTTGTTGTGATTATGGTGATAGAAACGGTGATATTGTTGTTGTCTACAGTGGTGGTTGTGACGATGTTATTGATGGTGTTGATGGGAACAACGATATTGTTGTTAGTTGTTGTGATGGTGGTGATAGAAACGGTGATATTGTTGTTGTTGGCGGTGGCGTTGGCAGTCTATAGTTGCAGTTTGATGAAGTTGCATTTTTGCCTCATCACTGCACACCGGAGCCTGCGTGGACCGGCCTCATTTGTGAGGAGGCCGAGAGTTGAGCAGGCGTCGACGACCCCTGCGCCGCTTTCGCTGAGGCTGCCTTAGTCCCACGGCTCGAACTGGCAGTGGTCCCTCGGGCGGGGCTCGGTTGGAGTCCACTTCAGGTCACCGCCCGATTGGCTACTCTCGCCCCGGGCCCAGGTTCCCCGAACCCACTTGCCCGTTGTCTCCTCGTCACCTCGCGACAAGCCTTTTTTTGCAGAATCACACCGTCCCCGCCCCCGTCAGAGGGTGCAGACGTAGCGACAAGCCGTCCGGACACCGCTTGGTGACTTGGCCGACGAGATTAAGCAGGTTCACTGGGACGCAGAACAGTCGGTCAACCAACCGGGACGGAAGGAAACACGACATGAATTAGTGCCATCCAGAGCTGCACTTACAATCAACCTGTCGAAGCGGTTTTTGCGCCTAAACACTTGTCGCTAGGGCAAATATGCATATAATCCTGAATTATGTTAGAGGGGAAGATGCAAATAGAGACGGATGGATAATTAGGCAAACTATGTCCGATTAGTCCAGCAACCGAAAGTGGTACATTTCGACGGCACTCAGCTTCAAAACAGTCGCAAAGCTGCAAAAAAGTGTAGCAACGAAATGATTATAAACAATAAAGTAGGCAAAGATGCTTGACTAAAGGCGAATGCATAAGCATGCAGACAAGTTAAGAGAATTTCTGAATTAATTTCGTACGGAAATTTGGACGGGATGGACTAAACCGAGCTTGTATCTATCTATCTACAGACACCCTTAAATGAGGTATAATTAAGTCATCTTAGGCCGAAAAGGATTATCACTTTTGCACAATGAAATGATTGGTTGGTCAAAGAAATAGAATATTCTTGAGACATGGAGCTGAAACTGTGAGGAGAATTACGTTGTGAAAATGAACATTCAAATTAAAGTCCATTATGTTTGATCTCTTGAGAAAAGATTTATTTAAATTAATTTTTTTTCAATCAGTAACTTTGATTAATATTTAGTTTTCTTCAGTTTGAATCTTAATAATGTCTTACATTATGAATTGCCCAACTAATGTATATTTTCAAGATTTAAGGTATTTTATCCTTTTCATCAATTTTGTTTCTTTTCGGACATTTAAAAGTTTCCCTTAATTTATGCTGATTTATATCTTCTTTATCTGCTTCACTTATAGCATATTTTCAAATATTTTAGTAATGGCTTCACATATTTTAGCATCATACCCTAAAGTCTGATAGGTTAGAAATGAACAAGTATTACTTAATAGACATTTCTAACAAATTTTGCCTCAAATAAATTTTCTTGAAGGAAATTTCTTCATTCTACAGCATTTTAATCAACCAACTAATTTGTAATTTCCAACTCGTCTTAGCTTACGCCTCATTAAGACTTTTAAATCTACATATTTGCATACTGTCTTAAAAAGCAAAACTTGTGGGCACTTAATTTTTTTGTTCACTTGTTTCATATTTCCATTTTGTCTACTTTTATTTTTTAGACTTAGTAACATATCAACAGCCGGATTTGAAAGCGGGCAATGTGTGCTTCTGGAGGAAAGCCAGACCTTGCCAAATTGGCAAAAAGCCAAGCCTGTGTTTGCCTTTGGATTAAATGTTACTACTTTTAATCGAATGAGTAGATGTCCACAGACAAACAGACATAGACAGACAGATACATACAGACACGCACAGACAGGCTGACATGACAGACACGCACAGACACATACAAACCGACGAATAACGGTTGCGAAGAGATAAAAAGCGAGACAAACCGACGTACCGACTGTCAGGTACAGGCTTTACAATATAAAAAAAGCACAATGTT